CTCGTAGGGATCCCAGTGAGGCAGCAGAAGGGTGTCCGAGGTAAGAGAGCCCAGGGGCCATTCTGTTTCTGTGTCCAGGCCTAAGGCAGGACGCCCAGTAAGTGCTCTTCTTCCCTTTTCTTCTGCTCATCCTGATATCAGCAGTAATGGCCTGCATTTCTCGTCTCTCCAAAGCACAGGTGTACCCGCTCCACTTTTCTGGGCAACTCTGGGCTCCGGCTGTGCTTTCCCACCGTGAGGGTGTGAACACTGAGGCTCAGTAGACGGATGAGACTGACCCCAGGGCATCAGTTTTACTTTGTACCATGCCCCTCTCTGTTCTAAAGCTGCTGTGGCCCCCGGATGTGCACAGAGTGGTGTCCCAGAAGGGATTTATTTCAAGTCTCCCTGTGCAGAGGAGGCTTCTGTCTGAGAAGAGCTGTCTCCAGGCCCATGTCTGGGCCTCTGGTCCCAATCTGTGCTGAGCTTGCTGAGTGCATGGTGACATTCCTCATGCCACAGAGACCCTGCTCCACTCTATTCCTGCCTTCAGACTGCAGTGGTCCAGTCTCCTGATTCGACCCCCATAGGTTCATTTCTCTCTGACTTCCCAACCAGACCCTCTCCATTGTTGCTTTTCCTCCTCCTGTCTCTAGCATCCTCTCTATCTCCGCATCCTTGCTTCCTCTCCACTCTTCCCCAAGTATGTTTTTTTTAATGATCTCATGCATTCTCTTCCCAGCATTTGGTCAAGGTCTTGCTTGTGTGGCAGGACCAAGCATCTACTGCCATCATTCCAAGGACATAGGAAGTGAAGGGAAGCTAGGAAGGGGCACCAGGAAACCCCAAGATGCTCCAGCTTTCCTTGTTGGGAATTTGATCTTCAGGTTGAAAATGTTATTCCTTTTTATTTGTAACTGATCAGGGGGAAAGAATTGAAAAAAAGAGAAAAATTCATACATACATCACACACAAACACACATCATACCCACATACCTCACAACACCCACACAAACACATCACACACACACCACACAATCATCACACACATCACATTACACACACATACAACACACACACCACTATATGCACCAACATAACCAACCAACACAAAAAAGGGCATTTTTGATGATAATTTTATTTTACAGTGTCATACAGTGGCCTGCCTGGTCACCTGGGTTGACAGCTGTGTGAACAGCAGCTGGAGTCACATCCCGTGCCCATCTTACCCATTCTGCTTGATTTCTGCCCTGCACTAGCATCTCCATGATGGAGAGAGGCAGGGTTCTGCTTGGGCTCAGCATAGCCTGAAGCCTCCTGTCTCCTTTAGCTCACCGGTCTGGTGGGCTCAACCGTTCGCCCTGTCTGCTCACAGCCCAGTCACCCACGGCCAGGCTGTTCCTACTCTGTAGCAGCTGGCAAGTTCCTCTTGCATCCCCAGCCCTTCCCAACTCCTCCCTGTCCCAGAGCTTGCCATGTCTGTTTGCTTATGAAAATCAGCCCTTCAGTGGGCTCTGCTCATTCTTCACAGGCAGTGGAGACCTCTTAGAGAGGGCAGGGCTATGGGGCTCAGAGGCGGAAATACCTGCTTGCAGATTTTCAACCCAGGAGAGAGAGGTTCTTTGTTTCTCTCAGTTTTGAGCTCCTTGGGTTTGAGTTTTGCTATAGTTTGCCTCTGACATGTCCTCCAAAGCCCCACACGTTAAAGACTTGATTCCTAGCTGTGTTGAGAGGGGGTGGGAATTTCAGAGTAGAGGCCTGGTAGTAGATCTTTGGGCCCCCCTCTAAGGGGGAACCACTGGGTCTGTTTTTAATTCTCTGCTTCTTGCTTCCCAGCCATGAAGTGAGTTGTTTTGTGCTTTTGCTGTCATGCCACAGGTTCAGAGCAGCAGAACAAACTGAAGCCTTCAAAACTGTGAAACGAAAGGGACCTTCTGGCTTTATAAACTCATCTGCCTCAGGCGTTTGCTGCAGTAACAGAAAACTGACTATCACATCGCTCTTCCTTTTGCCTCTTCAGTTTTCTTTTTGTCAGGAAAGAAATGGAAATTATCCTGCTGGTCATACAGAATGTCTTCTACCCACCTCCTTGGAGATGGGAGAAGCTGATTTTTCTTCCAACTTTAAATCCTAGGGGAGGCAGTCTTCCTGAGATTATTCTTTTTCCTGAAAAGGATTTTGTGAATATGATTTGCCCCATCCAGAGATGAGCAGAGCTTGCCTGAGCCCATAAAGCAGACCAAGGCCCAGGTCTGCTTTCAGAGGACTGAAAACCAGGGTCTGTGGGTTTCATCCCAAGAGGCCAGCCTAGCTCCACAGTGGAGCTAGGATGGATCATCAAACCCCAGATGTTCAGAGTGAGAGGGAGGGATGCGGTGGAGAAGGAACGAGGGCACAGGAATGAGATGTCAGGAGATGGTGTGTGTGTGCGTGCGTGTGTGTGTGTGTGCGTGCGTGTGTGTGCATGTGTGTGTGTGTGTGTGGTGTGTGGTGTGTGGTGTGTGTGTGTGTGTGTGGTGTGGTGTGTGTGTGTGTGTGTGTGTAAGCGTGGGGGGGTAGACAGAGGAAGGGGAGAAAGACAGCCTGTGGGGCTCCATTCTCCATGGAGAGTTCCTAGCATTCTCTGCTAAAGAACTGTTACCTTTCCCAGCAGGCATGGGTCCTAGGGAGGTCTCTCCCCTTCAGTGAGTTGAAACCCACCTTCTAGTAGATTCCTCCATGAGTCAGTTTCATTGTGAACTTGTTAATAGTAGTATAGAAAGGTCTCCTGCCTTTGGCTGTGTTACAGAGAGGGGTGGCTTTGGTTGTGTCTTCCACTCTAATGATTATTGGTTCAGGGGGAAAGGGTCAGGGAAGGCATTCCTGGTGGGTAGAGAAAAGCCTACAAACAGAACATTAGGTACAAACATGGGGGTGTCCCCTCTTGTCACCTTTGCCGTGTAGAAAACAGTATGGCAGGTGCCTGGAGGAGTATCTTTTCTTCTTAGTTACTTGTTCTATAATGTCCCATTTCTGGGTCACAGCTTTCTTCAGGGAGTACTTGAACTGAGGAACAAGGCTCCCAGGGAGGGAGGGAGGAGGAGGGAGGGAAATAGGGATAAAAAGAGGAAGGGAGGGAAACAGTGAGGGAGGGAGAGAGCAGAGCAGAGCACAGGGTTGGGTCCACAACAGGAATCCTCCTACTATTGATGTCACTGCAGAAGACCTTAACGGGCTGGAACGGGGTATGGCTTCCTCCCAGGAGATCTTTCATGCAGTTGTCAGGAACAGGGAAGTCCTGGATGGGTCCCAGGACACGTTTGGCCTCATGGAATGCCGACCTCAACTACCTGTTCTGTAGGGTGTGGGTGTCAACACTTTCCTTGTCCACTTCATAACCATGGTTCCCATCCCCAGGCTAGCAGAATGGGACTGGCTTAGTGCATGACTTGGGTTCTGAGCCTAGCACACTCACTATGTGATCACGGTCGTGTTACTTAACATCTCTGTAGCTCACTTCATCTTTAAAATGGAACTAAGGTATAGAAGTTCTGAAGGTGAATGGATTATAGATATACTACAAATACTCTGTAAGTGTTAGCTACCAGTTGCAGCATTAACATCCATGCCTAGAAATGGGCCCATCATGACACATTTATTGACCCAGAGCTCAACAAGTAGGCTGTACTGGCTGTCGAGTGAGCCCAGGGACCCTGCTCATCTCCACCTCCTCAGCACTGGGATTACAGATGTGTATCACCATGCCAGGATTTTTTTAAACAAAACAAAACAAAACAAAACAAAACAGTGGTTCTAGGGGTTGGACTTAGTTCTTCATACTTTACTGACTAAGCTATCTCTGCAGCCCATGATGACTTTCAACATTTTAGTGGACATCTCCTTTATGCCCAAGTTCTGATGACATTCCTGGTGAAACTTGCAGGTCCCAGGAGCTGACACTAGATGCTTCCACGTGATGAAGCAGAAAAGGTTCAACGTGTCTTATTTGATGCCCCCCCCTTAACTCTTTCCTTTTTCATGGACTCCATGATTCTTCCACAAGGACTCACTACAGAGAGTGTCTATGAGGCAGCAATCGATCACTGTGCTTGGAGGTAACAACAGAGAGATGCACTGTACTGGAGCCAAGAAGAGAGAACGTGCCAATGACTTCAGCCCCTCAGTTCATGAGGTACAGAGAGCTGGGAGAACAAGCTAGGTGGGGGGGGTTAGAAGGTTCCTTAGAGCAGGGACTCTGGAGCTGGCGCCATGCAGGATGCACAGGGGCCCAGGGAAGAGTGGGTGAGACATGGAGATGCAGGGAGCCTAGCAGCACTGACAACAACACATGCTGACACAAGCTTGACAGTGCCAAGCAACAGAAGGCACAAGCGATGACTACAGAGTGTTGCATCCTGGGATAGGGACTGCAGAGAGGTGCTTTCTTGCTGGAAGCATAAGCAGGGGCTGGATCTTAGAGGGATTTGGATGTCTTTTGCCAACAATACTGGGGAGGTAGGTAGAATATTCAAAGCAGGGAAACACATGGCCATTTTTTGTGGTTTGAAGAACTCATTTTGGCTTCAGGGAAGAGAATAGACTAAAGGTAAATGGATGTGGCTGGCAGAAATTTCCCAGTAGGTCTAAGCCAAGGATAGTCACCGAGAGGAGAGGCAGGTAAAAGTTGTGACCATGAGTGGTAACAACTCTGATGAGAGAGGAAGCTAGAAGAAGGAGGTTTCTCTAGCAAAGCCCAGGCCCCAGTGGTGTGTAACACAGCTACACAACTCTTGGTCCAAACATAGGCAGCTCCCTCTGCCTGGCAAGGGCCATGCACACTGCCCAGTGCTGGGCCCTGCACCTACAAGGTCCCTGCTCGAGTCACCTTCTCAGCCCACACCAAAATTTATGCATAAAATGGGGTCATTCACATTCTCTACGCCACACTGTTATAGGCCCTGGTCCTCACAAGCCAGGTAATTCCCCAAGTGTTCCCTGCAGAAGGAAAGGGTGATAAAATTCAGCACATGGAAACACCAGGGTTAAGTTCATAATATCTTTTATTAATATATTATGCTACAAAAATATTTTTGGCAAAATAACATTAATAGCATCTTTCTTTGTCTTCTATTATACTCTTAAAGAACTCTTCATGACAATTCACAGGGGTGAGGGAGGAGGTGACAAAGAACACCACAAGTATTGTGAGGGTTGAAGCCAGCTTGGTACAGTGAGGCACAGTGGGATGGCCGACAAATCTGAGACATAGAGCTGGGCAAAGGGTAAGGCCAGCCTCCCCGCCGGGAACCAAGAGCTCCTCCCACCCAGCCTGGCAACCAGAGACACTCCTGCCTAAGAGTCCCTGGTCGTTCACACCGGGCCCTGTAGACTTGGATCCCATTCAAAACCACATTCCCCAGGGCAGGCCTTAGGATGGAGGGAGCCTTTAAGTAATGCTTTCTTGTCTGTCACATGCTCCCATCATGGCAGCCTGTGGGGCCTACATGGAAAGCTGGTCTAGGGAAGGGAGGAACTTCACCTCCAAGGAGACCCGAGATTATACACAGAATTCCCTTCCTGCTCCCAAGAAACTCTCCCTATGGTCCATGGGGAAACGGAGGCTCAAAGAGGGACAAGGGTTTACCCAAAGCCAGCAAGAAAGGGAAGGTGCAGGCCACCTCCAGGGGGAAAGATCACAGGCTGCCTTTGCAGTCAGGCTGTGAGGAGCTGACATTCCCTGGAAAGGGTCAGGAAGGGGCCCCAAGGGCCTTATAAGCCCTGCCTTTCCTTCCCCAGGGTTGGGCACAGACAGAAGGGCTCTGGGCTGGAGCCACGGGCAGGGGTTCAATCCAGTCCTCTCCTCCCCAAGAGATCCCCTCCCTGCCCAAGGGCTGCAGACATTTCTGCCAGTTCATGGCAAGTCTGGCTGGGCCGTGGAAGAATGGGGGAGGAGCAACGGGAGACTTGACTGAGTCCTGAATCTACAGGCTTAGACAGCCAGCCAGGGTGATATTTTTGGCTGCTTAGATGAATTTTTGGAAAACTAACAATGTTTAAAGAACCTGAGCCTTACAGAGCCGGGGGGGGGGGGGGCACCGCCATGTCATTTACACCAGTCCTGTGCCAAGACTTCCAGCTGGCTACCACGGCTTTAGTCAGTGGGCCTTGGGGCCTTGCACACCATGCCTCTCCCTCCCGCTAGAGAGTTCTGCTCTCTGGTGCTGTCCTCTACCGGCTGGGAAGGTGGAAGCTGCCCCCAAAAGAGACCCGAGGCTCTTTCCCCTTTCCTAGCTCCAAAATTTTCTTCCTCACTTTTTGGCTCCCTTTCTTCCCCTGTCCCTCTCAAACACATCTTTGGAGTATCACCTTTGTGTTGAAGGACATTAAAAAAACAAAGACAAAACAAAAACAAACAAAAAACCTGACACATCAAGTTGCTTGCATTCACAACAGGGAGCAAATTCATATCTAGACAGCCCATCTCTGGAGCGTGGGCATGGTAACAAATAGGTACTGGGACTGCATAAAGGGCTCCAGGGGGACATCCGGGAGCCAGTGCCACCCGGCTTATTCTTATAGGACAAATGATTGGGAGAAGGAAAGAGAGCTTCTCCTGGGGAGCAGCATGTGCAGCACGTATAAAATACTGCATATTCTAGAAATAACAAACACGATTCCATTTGTCAGGGCTGGGGTGGGAAGGATGAGAATGGCCAGCAAGATCAGCTGAGCCAGGTCACGGCGGGCCTGGAATGCCAAGTGGTGGACCTGGTGTTTATCTCATGGCTATCACTACCCCAATTCTGGCTTTTGTTTTTGTTTTTGTTTTTTGGCATCCAGGATGTTATCTAAGCCGTAACTCCTGCATAGAATATCACCTTTTTAAAGAAATTCTCTTTTGGTAGCAGTTCTCTTCTTTGGGATCTCTTGTGACAATAGTACTGGGTGGGGTGATGGGACAAAGTACCTGAGCTCCCAGGCTTGCCCAAGTCTAGATGAGGCCAGAAAGTAGCAAGTGACCACACTCCATGTGAGGAGGATGTGCGTGGGTCACCTAGTGTGAGATGAACATTCCAAGTCACCCTCAGCCCACACATGGCAGACTCCGAACCTTTGACCCTGGGGACTGGTCCTGCACCTCCTGCATTTCCCTGATTCTTTTACCCTCAGCATGTGTTGGTCACTTAATCTGCTGGGCCCCTGGCCTTCCGTCTTTCTGTCTGCCTCAATGTCAAAATGAAAGTCCTAAAAATACACAAGGAACTCTCAGAGGAATAGGGCTTTGTGTTTTATGAGTCCAGCTCGACGGGACACGAAGTCTGAGAAACTGTTGATAGATTACTGGCGTTTTCAGAGCAGGATAGGAAGTTTAAGTGGCCTAGATATACATTCTGTTTTTGTGCCTAAGGTCTCCTGGGATGTTGGCCATCAAAGTTGAATTCGCTCCTTACTCCAACCCTGGCTTAGTAGAGATCCAGGAACCAGGAACGCCGGCCCTAGATGTCTGAGCAGCAATTGCTCTTTTCTAAGTCTATGCCACCCTGCACATTTGTCGATCTGTCGGCCTAGCCCTTTCTTCCTTCCATTATTTTTCATATAGGGTCTGGCTATGTGGCTCAAGCGGTTCTAGAATTCACTATGTATCCCAGGCTGGACCTCAAACTTATGATGCTCCTGCCTCAGCCTCCCAAAAACAGTCATTCCAGAGATGTGCTGCTAAGCACGGCACATTGTCTTTCTTCAAAAACTTTAAAGCAGAATTGAGGAACTTAAGAAAGGACAGACAGCAGCCCAAGATTGGGGCTGGGGCAGGACTAGCCCAGGATTGCACCCACCAGTCCCACCTTGATGGTGGACTCTTCTGTGCCCAGGAGGGTGGGTACAATTCAGTCTGCATGTGTAACCCTGGCACCGTGCTTCCCCAGTGATTACATGCTGCATTAATTCACCATTCTGGCCCCATGCCTGGCACAGGTCTGGGCACACAGTCAGGTGCCTGGACTGTTTCCCCAAATGCTTCATCTTTAATTAACCTCAGGCTTGATCTCCATACATCTCATGCCATACTCTGCCCCAAACAGGGGAATCTGGCCTGTGTGTTTCCAATTCCTTTACACTTATCTCATCCCAATAGTGCTCTGCACGATCTGTTTGATGTCTAACTTCTGAGCCTGCTTTAAAAGGCAGCTAAGCCCCTTTCCGCTCAGCAATAGGAAGTAAAATTTCTTTTTTTTTGCCAAGGATAAACTGACTCCAGTCCTGGTTGAGGTCAAGTTCAGTTTACAGTGTGGTGCCCATGAGGCTGGCGGGACCCTGTGAAGCAGAGTTCCAGAATCCTGCCAGGTCTCAGGCTTAAACCTGCCCACTGGGGCAGAGCTGGAAAGAATTCTGCAGCCTGCCAGGATGCCTGTGGGACCCCTGTCTATCCAATGAGTTGCCCAGAATCCTGCCATCTCAAAAGGGAGACGTCTGCCAACCTGAGCATGGCGGTGCCTCCGCCAACCAGGCGCCATCGAGCCTGCCAGGGAAACCCATGTGCAGTGAGGTGAGAGACCAGGACTGGAGTTAACATGCCTGCCCCAGCTATGGCACCTTGGAGAAGTCTCTCCTCTTTCTGGACCTTTGTGTTACTCTTACTGCTCTTGACAGGTGGTGGGTCGTCCCTGCTCTCCGAACCTAGGACTCCTTAAATAACCAATGAACCACAAGTCCAGCTTTGAGCTATAGGCTGCAATTCAGCCCACACTGGTCTACTGTGTCCCCAGTCAGCCCCCGGGGGCAGAGGGATACATCTGTCTCTCTGTGCTTCAACTCTCTGACTGCCCGTACTGATGGATCATCCTGCTAGAGCCCCCTGGCCACAGGGACCAGCAGGGGGAGCTGGTGAAACATCCCCTTGCCTGCCATGGGAAGCCAGGGAGGGTTCCAGTTTGGGGGCTGCACCTCCCTAGGCACTTCTCCAGATAGGAACAAGGACAGAACACAGTCCAGGAGACAAGGATCATTCTTGTACCACACTAATCTGGGGCGGGGAGTAAACTTTGGGCAGATCTTCTCCCCTCTTTTGGGGGTTCAGTGTCATCCTCGAAATGGGGTCATCACATCTCACAGCACTAGTGTGAGGATCTATGGCGAGGAGAGTGCAGGGAGTCCACCTGCTGGCTTCTGGCCCGTGGTCCTCTTTGCCGCTGTCATCTCCACAGTTGGGGACTCCTGAACTCAGTCACCCCTAAATCCGTCCTGTGCCAACTCCTGTCCTTCTGCCCAGCTCACTTCACTCAGCTGGGCTTTTATCACCCCTTCTTGAACGGAAGCTGGGCCAGTGCCACTGGACCGTAGATCGCCCACTTGCTTTGTGACACTGGGTAAACCTCAGTCACTTTTTGGGTCTCAGTGTAGCCATCTGACCACGGGACTGGGTTCACCTGCTTCAGCACCAGTCTCCCTTTCTGATGGAAAAGCTCACCAGGAGTTCTGGAGGCCCAGTCCATAGACGCTCAGGGACTTCAAAAATAGCAGCATTCTTTTTTCTTAAAGTGTCCCTCCAGGGCCTGGACACATCCAGGGATGGGCAGGATGATTGGCCACCATGCCTCTGGCTATGAAATTCAGCTTCTCCAAAGCATGGGGCTGCCCTTAGAGATGCCTACAGTGGGAGAAGCCAAGCCTGACTAGGAAGCTTGGGACCAATTCAAAGCCATAGTCCATACAGGTCACAGAGGTCACGGGAACCTGGGCTCCTTCCCTGGGCTGGTGCTGGGGCTAATTCAGGGACTATAACATAGGCTACATAAAAATAGTTTTATCCATAGAATAAATACACTTTCTCTTTTAATATGGACACATATTTTACAAAAGAGCCCCATAGCACTATGGGAAATTAAGACCTTCTACAAAAGAGAAGATGTAATTTGGGTACAATAAAGCTCTAGTGTTTTAAAGTCCCTGTCTTGTGTGAACTGCCTTGAGGTGGCAGCACCCTCTGAGGTGGTGGCAGGTGGTGGGTGTGGTCACAGACTCCTGTGGTTTCTCTGGCTTCTCTGCAAGGGTGGTCAAGGTCAGGACGGCCCAAGGGTGTGTAGTAGGAAGGGGACAACAATGGCAGCAGCGATGGCAGGGGGTAGGCCCAGTGTAGGTGCTGAGTTGCTGGTAGGCCCCACACGGTCCTGCTGCTGGAGCTGCTGTGAGGACTTGACAAAGGGCTCGGTGGTCCCGGAGCTGGGGGTAGGCTGGAGGGGCAGCGGGGGTGGCGAGACAGTGGTGCTGGAAGGAGGAAACAGTGACTGTCAGCATACTCCTCCTAGGAAGAGAGCTTGGGTTCAGCTCTATATTTTCCAGATATCTTTCTAGCTCAACTGACCTCCAAGGACAGGCTGGGCCCACCTGTGACCAATCATGACGGTGGGTCCCAGGCAGAAACAATTGCAAGGTCGTGGAGGAGATAGCTCTGAGGTTTCCAGAGTATAGATTCCACCTGTCTACAGGTGTTCTGCCCCTTGTTGCTCCTTCCAAGGTTTCTGAAGGTGACAGAACACACACACACACACACACACACATACACACACACACTTTCACCACAGCATCCTATGTGCCCTGGTTGGAGCTTCCCCCATGCCAGTGGTTCAAACAAGATTTCCATTGTCACAATAAGCCCTCAGAATGTGTCTTACCACCACCCCCTTTCAGCAGGGGGGGCACCTCAAGGAGGCTACTGGTAACCAGGTTCTGGGCAAAGCAGGTTTGTACACCCATGGGTCAGGAGAGGAAAGACTTGCTTCTCTCAGAGGAGGTAGGTATGGTGCTCCTGCAGGGTGTGTATACAAAACAGGGGTGAGCCAGAGGCTTCCACGGCACATTTTAGCTCACAGAGCCCAGTGGGCTTTGTTTCATGTCATGCCGGCCTTCAGCCACATGGGGCCTGTCGCCATCTCACTACACCTGGCCGCTTTACCGCTACCTCATGCCCATCATATCCACTGTCGTGCTGATACTGTCTCACTCACCTCTAGAGACTTGCCCTTCTACCTTGAAGAGCGAAGGCTCACCTAAAACACTCTCCGCTCCCCACTCTCCTCACTGTCAGTGGGACATATGTTATATGAGGGCTTCAGAACAGGTTTCTAAACCGAGGAATCTTAGAACAGTGCCTGGCCCTGGCTGGTGTGGGAAGGTGATTTTGTTTGTTTGTTTTGAAATTATCGTTAATATTTTTGTGTCTTTGCCTCTTCCCCTAATAACTTCCCTCATTTACAGCGTACTTCTGAGTACATGCTTAGTGCTATACCTATGCCATATTACTATTCTGTTGAGCTTGAAGGAGATGGGGATTCTTAATAAGATGAGATGCACTGGGACCCTCTGTTTCTGTAGCATGAACTGTGGGCGTTTGTGAAGTGCAGTATTTCCTGGTAAGACCTTGAACAGTGATGTGCAGATTCCAGGATCAGCCTGAGGCCTTGTTGGCTGCAGCCCCTGGAAGAGATAAAGGCCCTTGCCTAGCAGAGGTCATTACCTCAGCCTCCACTCTCCCTTTCTTGTCTAATGAAAAAGAAAACTGCAAGCAACACACACACACACACACACACACACACACACACACACACACACACACACACACGTCCATGCCTAATTGCTGCTGTGTGTCCCAGCCTGGGTAGTTGGGAGGCTTTGAGGGCTATCTTCAGGGCAGTGGGCTAGATGCCCTGTGAAGTGGCTGGAGCCAGGGACCAGGCTATACTAGGAGGACAAGACCAAATGGGAATTATGTCTCACAAGGCACCTATAGGCATTTTCTTTCACGCTTTGAAAAATAAAGATGAAAACTCTCCCTTGGAGCCCAAGTGGGGTTTTTATGGCTTGGAAAGAGTCCCAGGAAAATGAAGTGGGACTGAAGAGGGGGACGAGCCCCTCTAAATGCAACCTCCCTCCTTCCTTCCTAGCTTACTCAGCTCACAAAGTTGGTCCCCAGTCCAGGTCCCCACCCCCTCCCAGGCTCATGTAGGAGAAAACTGTCTCATGGCACAACGATCTAGAGGCCAAACCAAACACACTGCACATTCCCAGGCTCTGCAGTTGGCTGGCACTGGGGGCTAAGTCTGCTCAGAGCTGACAGGACCCCAAGTGTGGGAAGGCCCCTCTGACTGGCTGGAAGACAGAGCTCTGTGCAAGTCTGGGTTACCTCCTTGATTTGATCTGTAAATTTGGGCCAGTACCATTTTCCAGGCCTCAGTTTCCCAATCTATACGAAGAAAGGGCAAGAATGGAGCGGTAAAAGCCAGAAGTAAGGTCACACGCTGGCAGAAATCCAAGGGAAGGCATAGACAAGTGAGGCTAGTGCCAGGCACTATGTCAGTTGTCACCCCTTCCTGGGGTTCCCTGAAGCAGGGATGGATTCTGGCACTAGAGGTCTGTAGGAACCCCCCAAGAGTCGGCACTGGGCATCACCTACATTTATATTTTTGCTAGTAAGAGGAGCTGGTGCCTAACTAGGGGCACAAGTGAACTTTTGGCTCATTGAAAACCAAAGATGAAAGCCCCTTGCCAAAGACTAGAGATTTTTTATTGCTTGAGTGGGGTCTCAGAGACGTGATGGGGGGAGGTGAAGAGGACCAGCTTCCAATTAGTTATCGCCTCAGAGGACCGGCCTCCAGTTACCCCCTTAGAGAGACGCAGGGGCACCAGACTTGGAGAATGCAAGGCTTGGATGACAGGACCCTCCACGTCATTGTTGGAGGAGAACACATGATTCTCAACTGGATTTTGTCCTCTTTGGACTGAGAGATCAGATGTGGGCAAAGACCCATCTTGCTCAGCTTGCCTGCTGCTTCCCCTGCCTCCACCCAGAACCTGGAGCCTATCAGCCCTCACATCTTGTGCCATGGCTCCTTCCCCAGGAATGTCTTTACCCTTCCCTCAGTCTTGCAGACGGTGGGCTAACCTTGTGATGCGTCCTAATAGTGGACCAGAGGTGGAAGGAACTTTCCATCCTGAGATGAAAAACGGGCCCATAGATGGGAATCGCCAGGGTCTTGTAGAGCTGAGGCTCCAGGGCCTTTTCAGTGACACTATCTTGGGAGCCATATGCCACTGTCTGCCACCAGCACTAATCCACAGTAATGGGTGACAGGTGTGTACCCAGCATGTCTTCGCTGCACTGGGGGCGGTGTTTCACAGCGCCCCCATTGGCTCATTGATGGCTTTGAGTCTAATACACATTGAAGGCCCCAAGAAGCAGCCTGCTGGGGAGACTGAGCCTGGAACATGCTGGAACAGAGACTCTGGAAGTAACACTAGCAACAGTCACTTCAGGGTCACTGCAGGGCTGCTTTACAGGCATCTCCCTGCTGCCAAAGCCCTGTGCGGAGGGACTGCAACAGTACTCTGTGTGATTCTTTCAGTAGTTTCTTGATGATTGAGTGACTTCATTTTGCAATCCTCAAAGGGCACCACCCACTTCAGGTGAGGTTCTTTTGTGCCAGGGACACTTTAGTTACCCTGGACTACCCCACATTGTGAGGAATGACAGGGATACCTTGAGCAGGAAGGGCAGCAGACAAGAGGAATGCAGAGCCCTTCTGGAGGTATAGTGTGTTTCCTCTCAGCCACATGTGCACCCTGTATGGCCTATACTTGCCTAGTGGCGCTCACCACTCTGTTTCTGTCACATACTCACGCTCACCTCCAAGCCAGGCTTTGTCCAGCAGTTGCAAGGTACTCTTTACACCTGTGCAACCTCAACATGCTTGCAACTCAGGTGTGCCAGTCAGTGTGCCTCCATCTCTCTCTTACACACACACACACACACACACACACACACACACACACACACACACACACGTGTGCTTGCAGACTTGGGGACATGGAGTGTGAAATCTGGCATAACCTCCAGAAACCAGCCAAGGCCCTAATGGAGCAGGGCTCACTTTAGGATTGCCACAGGCCCATGTTTGATGGGAGTGGTCTCTGTCCTGGCTTGCCCTGCTCACACCTTTCCCCGCTGTCTCTGTCTGTACTCAGAGGTACGGGATTCCTGAGAATGCTCTGCTGCCACGCATCCATCTGTGGACACACTCAGCCTTTCCACGGGTCCCCATAAATCATCCTGCCACAGGCTGCTGCTACTCTAAACTTCCTCCGCTGTGTTTACAGCTTGGGGTAATGAGGGGCGAAGCGAGGCCAGCCTGCTCCAGGTGGTGTCCCAGCCAGGAACTCACAGCCTGCATCCCCGGTTCCCTCCTCCTCAGGCTCAAGCATACAGTCAAAGACCGTTCCCACCTAGTGAGGCCTCAGGTGACCTGGAGTCATTCAAACCAGATCTGTGCTCAGGATTCCCCAGCCTAGAAACAAAGGCATAGAAATGTATAGTGTGGGTCATGGTGCCAAGAAAAGGGCTCCCATAGGTGGCTAGGGCAGATGGGAGAGCTCAGCCAGGTGAGGATGGGAAGAGCACTTAGATGGTGGGTGGTGAATATGAACCTTGGAGTTGGCTGACAGTTCTGAGTCTCCATCCCTCAGCAGGGTCACAGATCTGGATGACTCTGATTCCTTCCCCGTAAAACAGGCCTGCTTTGTGTGACTCTTAATAGGACTATGAAGTGATGGATGTAAGTTCCTGGCAGCAGAGGGAGCTTCACAAAGGCCCCAAGCAGAGGGAAGCACTTGTAATTGCGTGGGGGGGACGTGGCATAGCCCACGGTGGCACATGGCCTAAAGAGGCCCCAGTGGGGGTGGAAGGAGAAAAGAAGGGAGATCCCCGAGGCAGGCGAGACCGTGGACCAGAAGACCCCGGGCCTGCATGGTAGTGAAGGAGGAAGACGGGCAGGAGCCAGCCCCAGCGGGATCGGAGAACAAAGTGAGAAGGGGAACAGCATAAAGCTCTAAGAAAGCTGGCATGTGAGAAGGGCTTCAAATGAGCTCCATCTTGCCCTCTGCCCCTTCTCAGAAAACTGGAGACTTGGGGACTCTGGGAAGGTGGAATGAGTCCTTCGCATGTGGGAACCTATGTCTTGTACTTGGGCTTCCCAGGGAGTACAGGGCCCACTTTCTCAAGAAGCAGTGAGGAACTTTAATAAATTGCTCTTCGGTGGAATATTCTCTTCCAGCCTGAGCAGAGGGAGGTGATCAGCCAACCACAGTTTTACTTGCTGGGATGGAGAAGGGCTTCCCTCTGCCAAAGAACAGCTGCCTTCTTCCCCTGAAGCCAGGGTCTGTATTCCAGATCCCATGTTATGAAACGGAAACTGTCCGGTGTCATTTGTCTGCATTTCCCTTTCAGACGCAGTTAGGGGCTGGGGACTCATTGCTGGAGTTGTTACCCCATGAGTTAGAGTTCTCTATTGACCAGGACTGTGAGTGATCAGACTATTGGGAGTTTCTAGTGGACTCTGGTAGCCTGTAAACTTGCTCACACCTGAAGGATGCAACTCTCTTAAACTCTAGTCTCTTGCACCCAGTTAGGTGGAGTAGCTCATGCTGGCTGGGCTCAGTATGTCTCAGCCAGTATAGCCACAATGATGCCGTGAGAGGCAGGGCTGTGGGAGGCAGGGCTGATGTCTCTGCAGAAGTACATTCTCCAACAGCCCACAGGAGGCGCTGTGGCACCGACACCTAAAGGTTCAGTGGCTTTGATGCCTACCCATTGGAAGTCTTTTCCTGATAGCGCGTGGCGTGCTCTTTGTGATGAGGCCTGGACTACATCAATCTCTTATCACTGGCTCAGCCACCTGGCTGCAGAACAGCCAGGGAGTGGAAGGTACCAGTCGGTCAGCTTTTGGTTCCCTGGGTGGCCGGGGACAGGCACTTCGGTTCTATACCTTGGTTCATATTCATGAATGAACAGTTGAGCCAGAACTCCCTAGAGCTGCTTAGAACCTTTTGGGACATACACCTCAGGCCTCTGCCCTCTGACTCTCATGCATGAGGTCTGTGTGGCGCTGAATACTTGCTCATTTAACAAGTAAGGCGATTCTGTTTGGGATGCTGAGGAAAATCCTGGAGGGCGTTAAGATCCAGATTGGAACTCTGGGTTCTGAGGTTCCACTGTTGAAATATCAGATCCAGGACTGGGCTGCCACAGTTGGGGAGGACTCAGGTCCATCCCTGAGACATTCCTTAGTGACACCATTCCCTGTCTGTAAAGATTCCTGCCACACAACTGACTTAGTGAGATTGCTCTGGAGAGGAACTGAGTGCGGGGTGTTAGACAGAATCTTGGAGCAACAGGAGTTTTGGTGACAGGCTGAGGCAGGACGTGTTGGTGACAGGAGGAGCGTATGGAAGGAGGGTAGGGGAGTTTTAGAACCTTAGACTGTGCTCTGTGCCTGCCCGTTTACAGAAAGGCCCACAGTAACACATCAGAGTCACAGCATCCATCGCCTGGTGATCCTTTCTTTCAAAGGGTGGGGGCTCCTCCAGGCTCTCTATGCTACAGTGACACTGCTCAGACATTCCCAGCACAGGGTTTGACACCTTCTGACATATCCATCGTGCCATGTTTGCTCCTGCTTCCAGCTTCATCCCTGGGACAAACGAATCAGGGGCAGGCCAGGCACGACAGACCTCCGTCTGCGGCACTGGAGGATGGGTCCACGTCTTCATTTAATTTTAAATAATGAAACAATTAGTGACTGGCTGCACTGGGGGTTGAGGCCAGGGCCCTGTGCATACTAGGCAGGCACTCTATCCTGATGCTACATCCTCAGGCACTCTATCCTGATGCTACATCCTCAGACTTCTTCCTACTTTTTATTTTGAGACAGACTCTGACTAATTGTCCAGGCTGGCCTCGAACTTGTTATCTTCTTGTGCCAGCATTTCAGGTCCCATGCCACTTTTGAACTGAATAGAATTCTACTTGATGTAATGTTGAGAATAAACCTCCAGAGTCAGACGTGAGCATGTTCTACACACCCCAAAAGATGCTCACGGAGGTGCTGGAGAGTCAGGGGAGAGCCTGCCTCTAAGCTTCCACTCTGACACCTGTGCCCCTGCGTTCTCACAGCAGGGCGGGCCCGTGGCAGTGCGCTAAGCCCTACAGGAGGCTGGCAACTAGCCCCTAGATAGCCCGTCCCTTCCCTGCTTACCTGTCCTCGATGCGGACCCAGAGGTCGTTGAACTGCCTCGGCCGCTGGTGTTTGTTCAGTCTCTTGCGCCACTTTTGCCGTCCGAACTCCTCCAGCTGGCTGAGGCTGTCGGGCAGCAGGAGGTGTGGGGACAGGCCTGGATCCTCCTCCTCAGGAGGGGTGGTAGGGGTTGCTGAGGTTGCTTCTGGGACCGCAGCAGCTGGGGTGGCTGGGGCTGGACTGGCAGAAGAGGTGCCCTCGGGAGAAGGAACTGGGCTCCCAGTAGCAGGGCTGCAAAGTGGACCAAGATGTGAGTGTGCCATGCGTGCAAGGGGGGATGCAGAGGGGCGTCTTCAAGGCAAGGGGAACGTCCCTGCTGGGATGGCCTGGAGGGACGCAGGGCGACCATTGTCTGTTACAGAGAGAACACTGATTTATTCTTTCATCTTCTAGTCCACACACTTCCTGCAGCTAGCATTTCCGGGAAATTAAGTATCAGCAGTGACCCAAACAGAGGCTCCTGCTCCAGACCATACCCTGAAATGGGAGACAGTGAAACACAGAGGATATCAGGAGGCCACCACACTGCTGAGGAGGAGAACACGAACATGTGACAGAGACAGGTGTGAGGGCTCAGGGATGGAGGAGCTGGTTGGAAACAAGGTCTATGCTTATCATTTGATCTTGATCAATGTTTCACTCAGCAATACCCCTGGCAGGGGGACTCTAGGTGAGTTATATAACTTTGCTGTGCCTCAGTCTCCTGTAAAATGGTGGTATAATGGTCCTGACCTTCCCAGGGACACTAAGTTTATAGGTGAACACAGGCGAAGGGCTTAGCACAGTGCCTGGCAGTGGTAGGCAGTCCAGGCCATTGAGTAGTTGATGCTACTCAAGCTGCTGGTGTGCATTGGATATCTATGGGTCATCTTTTGAATGGAGGCAGGACAGGGCTAAGTCCCTAGAGCACAACCTGAAGGCTGATAGATACAGTGCCCAGCCCACTTTGTAACTCATGGCTCAGATTGTGGCTGGGTAGCGCTTGAAAAGGCCATGGAAGAATATTGTTACCCACTTCATCAGGATGGCATGGGGGTGAATGAGCATCGCCATTCAGCACAATGCCTGATACCCACTACAGCTCTCTGATGCGGGTCACCAAGCAAAAGGACCTGACTATGCAGGCACTCAAGGGTCATTTAGTCATGCTTGTGGAGTTCGTGCTCAAAGTAGGGGTTTGCCTCTCAGCCTGCAGATATTCCCTTTTATTCTTTGCTTTCTGTGGCCCCAAAGGAATTCTTTGGGGACATTTGGCCCTGGGGGGGTTAGAAGTGGTTTTAGGAATTGTGTCTAAGCAAACATCTTGTGAGGGAGGTGGTACCCAACACTGAAAGCAGCCTGTCCTCCCATCCTACCCTCACAGGGCAACAGTGAGTGGGTGAGGGGCTTCTCTCTCTTTGAAGAGAAAAAGGCCATTGGCTCAGTTCATCCTCTCCCAGCCCCCATGACAACTCCAGACTCCCAGGGTCCAGGCTATTGGAGATGCTGCAGCTGTTGAGGAGATAATTCAAAACAGTCAGACAAAAGATAGCTACAGGAAGCACCTGTGGCCAAGGATGGCTTTTATTGTCCGTGCCTCCTCAGCTTCCCCACCCCCTCTGCCCTGCCAGTTCCTCCATCCCCTGTACAGGAGACCAAGGCTGCGAATCCTCTGAGCAGAGCCTCCAGCAGAGCCAGTGGGGGCAGAGGAGGAGATCGCCTCCCGTAATGCCTGCACTCCGAGATGAGTAGGAGCATGCCTACCTCCCCTGCCCTGCCTGGCCACACACAATGAGCTTCAAGGGAAAGGTCCCTGGGGGTGAAGTGAGAGAAGAGGAGGGAACTAGAGGAATGCCTTGACTTTGAGGTTACCTTGCATCCCTTACTCCTCAAATACACCTGCCCTAGCCCCCCCAAAAAAACTTCCGGCCGAGGTTGGGGAAAGAAGTGGGAGGCTAGGCTGCGATGGAGTCCCAGCACTGAGGTTCATGACTTCCTATAGAAGTCACATGAATCTGGGTGGGTATAGTATGGGGCAGTCTGTGTTCTGGGGACCCAAGAAAGTTTCCTCTCTGACGGTCAAGGTCTCAGTCATTCCTGAGCTCCTTGCTTAAGGAGCACAAGAAATAGTTAGGAGACAAGAAAGGTCACAGAACCAGACTGCCCTACAATGTGTCCTTCTGCAAGAGAGTTCACAATAGGCTCAGATGCCCTAACTAGGTCAGGAACATTCATAGTTTCTTCCTTGCCAGGATATGACAAAGAGTTAGAAACATACACAGTGAGCCCCACACAGAGTGAGCCATCAATACCCCGTATCTGCTTGTCTGTGACTGAGGAGGCCGTTTTTTGGACTTTGGGTCTTGCAACCATAAGGACAGGGGCTGAAATGACAACGGGGCCATCCCTGTGGGTTGGTGAGAAGGTTCTTGCATAATGGCTGGAGCATAAATCTCTGAGTTTGAGGAGACGGACTCTTTTCAGGAGAGCTCTAGCCTGGTCAATGCCTGATGCCGGGGTTATAGCAAACAGACAGAGCTGGGCCCTGTCCTGGGGAAATTTCCAGGGTTGTGCTATGTGGGGTGGCGCAGAATAGGAACCCACACAGGAAGAGGTTGAGAGAGTGGCTCTGTGGGCAAAGTGAGAGAGTCCTGGCAGCAAAGCTGGAAGCCAGGGGCACAGCCTGAGAAGACAACGGATCAGATACAGTGGGACAGCAAAAGGGCCATGCAGGGGAGATGAACACAGGGAAGAAAATAAACTGTAGCATCTTCCTCCCATGGTATCATCTTCATTCACTGTCTGGCTGTCCATTGACTTTCTAGGATAACTGAGGTCACTCATATCCTTGCCCCCATTCCCACTGCACCAGGCGATCCCAACAATGCTGCATGTCAGCCTGCTGACCCCATTCATCACCTTCTAGTCACAACCCCTGGTCCAGCCTATTCCTGGGAGAGGCCCCATCCCACAGCAGTCTGTTTCACAGCTTTCCCTGAGGCCTGACCAGGTTACAGGGGCAGTGATCACAGCATGTGGTCAGGGAGCAGTCACCCAACAGCTCTAAGGTGCCACCACACACCCTGATGCTTACCTGCGGATGTCTTGGCCAGCGGGTGTGTGGTCCACCTCCAGTCCTGCTTGTCTTAGGACATCGATGACAGTGTTGTTCCCCAGAAAGTGACCTGGAACATAAGATGCAGCGTGGTCTCAGTCACATGCTAGGTTGTCATCCAGTGGATAGATGGCTAATGAATTATACCAGTGGAGGTTCCCCAAGAGTCTCCTGGATGGGTACTGGGACTAGGAATGCCCATACATTAGCAACAGGGTCCCTTTAAATCCAGATAGTGTGTCCCAGTGGGGAGATGTAAATCTGGTCCAGCCTGCTTGTATTCATACCCCAGCTCTGTTCACAAACTGCACCTCTGTATGCTCCAGTCTCCTCTCCTGTAAAGTGGGAGTAATTAAAATCACCTTCTCCAGTCTGCACTCAGAGGCTCGTGTGCAGCAACCTATTGCATTACTGTGCCTAATGCCACTAAGCTGACCCTAGTGCCAGCCCACCTGGAGTGGTTAGCCTACAGCAGTCTTGGAAAGGCCTAGCTCTAGGAATGGCCCCTCCCCACAGGTCTATGGTTTCTCTTTGTAAACTCCATCAGCAACTCATGCCTACTTTCTTTAGTGCCCTGAGAGCCCTCCAAGGGCAGAGACCACCTTACTACAGTCGTATACATGGCCAGGGTCTTACACATGCTCAGTATGTGCTGGGTGGATCTAAGACTCATTTCTTCACTATCTACCCATGATGGCCTAGGTACTAGAGAATCCATAAAACCCTCCCAAACCCAGGACATTGACAGTGACCTAAAGTAGGTGCAAACAGAGTGACTCCCATGAGACGGCCTTCAGAAGTGTGTATGTGTGTGCACATGCGTGCACACGTGTGCTGTGATGTCCATCTCATCTCCCGCCCACAGCTGATTCTCTCAGCAAGCATTTAGGTGCACCTCCTCTGTATGAGATACGATAAATACACAGACAGAGAATTTAGTTCAGGGCTCAGAAGAAGGGAGTGGCCTCCTCTCTCCACAGCACAGGTGGGTAAGATGTCTGCACTTTTTAATAGCTCTGGTTAGGGAGAGTCCTCTCTCTGATCCCAGCCTCCAGGCCTCAGTTTCCCTACGTTTGCTGCTTGAGCAGTTTGGGTTGGCCTGTCCTTCCTGAGTGCTTTGGGATCTCCGCATGTTGAGTCTGCCTCATGACCCCACATGTAACATTGTTTTCCTGCTTAACTTGGGCATGGGAAGCAGGGACTTTAATCACTGTCCCATGACTCTGATTGCTGGTGACGAGTGGTGACAGGTGAGAAGCGGGAAGGTCAGCATGCTGACAGCCCCAGGGAGGTCAAGAACACAGTGGACAAACTGACAGGAACAGGCATGCTCCTGACATAGAGGGGGTCTGCAGGTCTTGTGCAGCGGCTGGAGCAGAATGGACGTGCTCAGCTTGACACGCCTCCCCAAGTCCAGCCATGTCTCCTTAGCTGGTCAGTCAGAGTTGCTGTAGTTCCACCTGGAGATCACTGGAACGATCACCACACAGGGGAAGATGCTAAGGGTGTTAGTCCAGGATCTGCCTTACTTCCTCTGAATCCTTGGGCATACAGGGCACCTCCCAGTGTCTCAGGTTTCTCTGTGTCAGAGGGAGATGTTGGAGTGCAGGATGAACATGCTTCATGTTCATGGTCCATGGCAGAGAGTTTTTGCTTCTTTAAAACCCCTATGAAAAGATGTTTCTCTTTTTTTATCCCTCTCTGTCTCCTCCTTTGCCTTCCTCTTCTTTAGTTTTTTATTTCTCTCCCATTTCCCTCCTCATTTCCTCCTTCCTTTTCTCCTTGACTCCCCCTCTTCTCATATACTTATGTCATTGGTTTAGTGAGCATTGACTATTGCACATCCCATGCTGGATAGTGGTTGACAGTATGAGTCCGATTCTGGGGCCTCAGGATCTGGCTTTGGGATGTGGGCACTACCTACAAAGCACGAGACACCACAGGGACACAGGAAGTTGTGCAGGTATGTGAGGCACCCACGTTCGTGTGGTGACAGGGAAGACTTCCTGGGGGAGGTAGTGTTGCTAGGCGATGATGGGAGTCGCTGGGGATAGGGACAGGGGCTCCAGGCGGTGGGCAGCATTTGCAAAGCCTGGGAGAGGGATGAAGCCAGCAGGGTCTTGACACAGAAGCACAGGTGTGAACAGGTCCACCATAACCTGGCTTCGATCTCACACGCTGAGGACAAGCCCTGTGTCTCTCCCGCATCCTGGGTGCTGGTTAACCTCTGGTAACTCGACACAGACCAGAGTCACCTGGGAAGAGGGAACCTCAAATAAGTGAGAAGAGAAATTGCTTCCATAAGATTGGCCTGTGGGCGTGTCTGCAGGGCTTTTGTTTTTTTTTTTTGGTTAAAGACTGATGTAGGAGGGCTCAGCTCACTGTGGGTGGTACCAGCCCGGGGCAGGTGGCTGTGGGTTGTATGGAAAGTCAAGCAGAGCTAGCCAGTGAGCAGTGTTCCTCCATGGTACCTACTTCAGCTCCTGTCTCCAGGTTCCTGCCTCAAGCTCCTGCTCTACTCTTCCTGGGAGATAAACTAGAGATATAAGATAAACTAAACCCTCTCCTCCTCCCCTGAGCTGCTTTTGGCCAGCGTTTTATCAGAGCAACAGAAGGCAACTAAGACAGTCTGCGATCCTAGCTAGTGGCTTTCTTGTCACCAGTGTCCTGCCTCCACGAAGGTCAAATAAGCCTGTGCCTCTCTGACCTGCTCTGAGGGCAGCTTGAAGCCCCAGAGAGGGAGCAAGAGTAAAAACCCTTTGCCGGCATGCCATCATAAGGGAGCTAAAACTGTCCCTGGCTAGGCTGGAGTCATCTCTCTCACTTGGCTCTCCTCTCTCTGGCTGGAGGAGAGCAGTGGCAGCAATCACCAGTACCCAGGAAGAAGGACTCTGCCAGGAGCTCACGGCCTCTGCTCTGGAAAATGAGAAAGTCCTCCTCTGTTTCCATGGGGAACTGGGTTTAAAGACAAGCTCTGGTGCTCCAATTATGGTCCCTACATCTGCCGAGAAGGCTTCAAGAGTCACTAGAGAAAAATGCAAGTCTTGTCTGCCCAGGAGAAGCAGGTAACATCCTCTGAGTGTCCCAAGGCTGTACTGTGGGTGGTCAGAGTGCTGAGGCTCGGCATTGCCCAATGTGGCTTCTGTGGTGCAGACCTCAAGGGATGCTGCTAAACCCTGAGCACGGGATCTCTCCCATGTGAGCTGGGAGAGCCCTGGCACTCCCTCAACCTTAAGGCTTTTTGAACTGAATCGCTTTCCTTAGGCCAGGGATACTAGGAGAAGGCAAGTAGGGGCAGGTCAAATTTAAATTTCTACCTTCTCTTTCTCTGAGCAACACTTGTCCCTCTGCCTCTCATCCTTCCTCCTGGGATGGGAGGATGGTACTTCACCCCAACTCTCTTTGTACAACCCCAAGAAGGACCCTTCTATATGGTTTGTGCCTAGAACTCTGATGTGAGTCTTGCATACCCCCCAGTACTCCTGACACCCACCCTCTCTGGTGTTTGGTCTCATGAGACCCACGGTTGCAACTTCATAGTATCCAAGCCTCCTTCTGGCCTGTGCATTTTCAACAGGGTCTTACTCTTCTGGTGACACTCTTGGTGGACTTTCTTTTGCCAAGTCCAAGTATGAGCCTCAGAAGCCTGCCCTTGGCCTCTTTCCTCTTCATCCTGCTCACACCTCAACTACCAAGCCTCACCTCTGGTTAAGTTTGATGCCCTCTACTTCAGGCATAGTGGTGCCCAGTGGCCCATGGACATCTCCACCCAACCCTTCCACGGAGCCCACCAACCCTGTTGGCCCTCTCTACTGGACATTGCTAATTGAGCTACACCGGCTCTCATCCTCCAACAGCCAACAGAGACCCCCGATGTCACCTCTCAAATACACTGGATTTCCCAGTCACCACACCTGCAGTGGAACTTCAGGAATCACCATTCTGTACTCCCTTCCCACTGCAGCTAGCCTGACCTGCCCACGGCCCAGAACTGACTCTGTTAGAACGTGCTCTCTAAGAGCCACCTGATGGGGGTGGGGGTGGGATAAAGCTTTTGGAGGGTGGGACTATGCCTGATTCATCTTTGTCCCCAGAGCTAAGCCCAAATCTGGCGCACCACCATGGCTCCGTGAATGTTTGTTGAATGAATGAGTGACACAGCCTGTTACTCCACATCCTTTCCATGATCTCATCCTGTCCCCAGGAGACCCGCGTTTCCCCCATTCTTGTAGCCCAGCCCTGGCCTTTGGTGATTCTCCCCAAGAACCCACCAATCCTAGGAGCTTGGCCCCTATACAGGCCAGAGTCAGGGTCCAGTGTGTGCTGTCCCCAGGGCTTGGCAGACAGGGCTTAGGCTTGTCTCCAAAGGTGGAAATTCTGGACAAGGCACCACCCCCATGCTGGAACCTGCAGGCAAGGTGGTGGAAGGTTTCCAAAGGGGCCCCACAATGTTGGGGCTCAGCCTGCTTGGCTTGCCCAGCCTCCCTGGGGCTCCTGGCCACCACTCATCATCTCCCTCCAGCATTAGTTTCCAGCTGTTCTCTGGCCAGCTCCCTACAGGAAGGCACGTTCCATTTCGATTGCTGAGTCCAGAGAGGACAGACAACAGAAGAGGAAATAGAGGGTGGGTCACAGGGAGCCAAGGAGACAAGAGGAAACAGGAAGAAAAGCAGAGGTAACTATCATAGGGTAGAGGTAGGGGTGAGTGGAGGGGGGGGAGAACTCCAGGACCTGGGAAGCAGGAGCAGACAGAGGAGATCATCTGTAAGAGATGCAGCTTCACAGAGAGAAGAGGGAACAGGAAAGAGTGGGGGGGGGGGGGGGAGGGAGAGGGAGAGGGAGGGAGGAGGGAGGCAGGGAGGATAGAGATGGAATGACATCCGCAGAGAAATGGAAGAGGATGGAGCAAGGAAGAGGAGAGAGGACCAGAGTTGAAAGCAAAGAGCACTGTGGAGAGTTGTCCCCAGGATGGGTGGTATTAGAAGGGCATCAGGAGGATCTAGGTTCAGGGAGGGAGAGTAGAGCTTCAACACTGTGGGGCGGGGCTGGCTTTGTCTCTCTGAAACAAAC